AATAAATTCGCAACAAAGACAACAAGATCCTTATTAAAAATAATAATAATAATTAAAATTGGTACTCATACAGACACTCATATTACTACAGTTTCTTGAACGTTATCGTATTCATATATTGAACGTATAATAATAATAATAATAACTAAATGTATAATTATTATAGATTTCACCTTGAACTTGTATTGCGATTTTTCAAACAAAAATTATTTATAATATTCTGTACCCACCTATATTATTAGCATTAAGTTTTAAGAAAAAAATTATAACACATTGAACTCGTAGAGTCGTACCTGTATATGAACAAGGTGTTCAGAATTTTATGTTATAGCAATTTTCTCCTACAATTATACATAATAGAGAATAATGTTTGATGATAGATTTTTTATTAAATAATTCAACCTAAAATTATATGTGGGCTTGACATTTTAAGATGCCATTTTTGGTTAAGGGGGGATTTGGAGTCAAATCTCCACCCCCTCCCCCCCAAAAAAAGGGCGTCTACAAATTTCAAGCCCACATATAATTTTGATTATGTTACCTATTGAATAAAAATATTTCATTATATATTATTCTTTTTTATGTATATTTGTAGGAGAAAATTGCTGCAGAGACATTTCTGATCACACTGTATACAATATATAACATGCAACATTCAACGACCTGAATGTTGCATGAATATGAATCATTGTTATTTATATAGGCACGAAAAACATGTTTAAACGAGAATCACTACTTTTATTGACCATGAATACTTAACTAGTGTACCTACCAAAATCCTTTTTTTTTTTTTTAATAAATTTTGACTGAATGAATTAAATGAAAATATAAATTAATGAAAAATATTCGCTTCGTGAATTGATATTATACTTTTAGTTATGTTTACAAGACATCGTATGATATCGTTAGAAATTGTATCTCAAGTAACATATTATAACGTCTGAAAAATAATGAATGCGTTTAAACCAGTAAATATTGATGCTCAGGTGTATGACATTCTTAACCGCCCGATTGCTGAGCCACTAGTTATATAAAGAATAATTCGTAAATTCAGTGGTTCCTATATCATAATATGAATTGAATATTTTAAAGTCTAAAAATATAATTTTTTTTTTTAAATACTTAAATTCAGTTCGTTATTTACTTGAATATTTCTATATTTCAGAAACACTGCGGCGGTCATGTTATTGCAGTTTAATATTTAATGATAAAATAAACGTTTCGCCAATATTGTGTTTACCAGAGAAGATAAATATGATAGAACGGACGAAACAAGTTTTAGACTCTGAGTGGAGCGAAGGAGCTTATAGTTTTACAAGGATGTTTAATTTTTTTTTTTTATCTGTTAACAACTTTTCTACTGGAAGATTTGATTAGATTTCTTAGTAAAGCATCATTTCTGAAAGGAAATCGGTGTGCGGAAGTCAAATTTGAAAAACCGAAAATAACGGCATAATATAAGAAACGTGGGTATTAGTTAAAATACATTACGGCTTTCTTTTCTTCTGTGCACAACTTTTCTACCAGCAATTATGCTCCAACTTTTAAAGATATCAATGTTTTTAAAAGGAAATTTCACTAGGGAGGTACTTTAAAGAGGTCATTTTTTGATTTTCCTAGCAAATGTGAAAAACTTGGATAAAACAATGGAAAACCGGGAAAAGCGTAGGAAAATTGGGAAAATCGGTACAACATTAAACAAATATTATTAAAGAAAATATATAAATCCTATTTAATTATTTTGCTATAAAATGACAAAGCATCACTATCAACCGTACTCCATTCAGAATCGTTTTTTCGTAAGAAATGGTTTATCGTTGCTTACAAGTATACATAAAATTATCCTTAACCGTGGTTGCATCCATCCCCATTATTCCAGGACATTTTTTTTTTTTTTTATATTAAATTCACCGTTATCCGAGGGCGTCTTTTTTTTAAATAGTAAATGCAATGACGATTATAAAAAATAATATTATTATTTGCAATACAATGTGTGGATGCGAAAACAAAAATCCTAATGCATATTATAAAGATGAATGTAATGATATTCGTTTATTAATTTCTTTATTTCTGAGGAATCCGAAATACAATATTTTTCCAAACGACACGGTAATATTATGTAAAACTAAGTATATTGTACGAGTCATGTGACTATTATGGGTATACGAGTTAAAATAAATAATTTAAACTACAAAAAAAAAAAATTAAATAAATAACAAATTTACATCGTGTGTGAACTTAGTAAATTATTATCCATATATTATAATATTACCTAATAATCGTTTTTGATTTATTTCATTGCAAACGGTTTTTTCTTGACACAATTCTATTATAATATAGTTGTTTTAAACTAGTATTATATTATTGTATTTTTTTTTTTTTTTTTTTTTTTTTGATAATAAACAACATTTAATAGACAAGTCATCAAGGATATAATAATATTGTATGAAGAAAATACCATTTCAACGAAAAGGTAGACAGCTATTCAAAAACGACGATAGAATAATGTTTTGATATCCCTGTAACCACAAATATCGTCGCGAGTCCTTCGGAAGATTAATGAATGTACAATTTTTTTTTTTTTTTTGGTAGATTTGTCCACGTAAGAAAAACTCTTGTAAAATATAGTTACTAATTTATAATACCTATTACAATGTTACAACGCGATTAATTTTAATGGCACACAATATTATGATGTCTGTTAAACTGTTGTTTGAATAACATCCCAAATCGTACATAGCAAAAGTAAAAAGGTTAAAGTGATTCGGTAGCATATTTGGAGGGCAGATACGTGTGTCAGAAGAAAGAAGCATTATCGATAAAAGCCCGATAGAAAAACCCCGGACGAGACACAGTGACTGTTGTGAGAAATGAGTTTATTCTGGACGACGCACAAATATAACACAAATCATACGTTAGAGAAATTTATGAAATTCGATAGAACATTCAAGGCTCGCTGTTAGTTAAGCTACAATGAACAAAAAGCTGAAGAAACTGATTTGTTATTATCATACCAACAAACAATACAAATTACAAAACAGATAGTTGACGAAATACAAATGCCCGGTTATAAATACTAAACGAGTTCTTATATTAAATTATAATATTTTAATTTCACTATCTCGTCGTAGGTACACAAAAAATTATGAGTGTCCGTCTTGCTATTTCTGTATTTTATTATGCGTTGTATTCTAATGACAAACGCCATCAATATTAAACCAAATTAATTTTTGACCGTGAGATTAAAATATTACACAAGTATTATGTTTATATTATAGATTTCATTAATTTTTACACGATTCAAAATGTTTTTCCCTTTAGGCTACAGTAAAATTATAATAATATTTATAATCGCATAATATTATGCGGTTTTGAAATTGTATTTGATAAAAAAAATACACGGCTGTATAGAAAATGCTCACAAAGTACCCATAATAATATTGACTCGTATTATTTCATTATTTTGATGATCATCTGATTACCTGAATAGGTACCTAACAATTTTATTTCAACGCCAACAATTATATTGACGTTGACACGTTCAAACCAGTGTCGAATTTACAGGGAAGGGGTTACATCCCGTTTTAATATTGTACACTGTATTTTACCTAATTAATGCCTATTACTGTAATTATAGGTAATACATTAACATTTTGAAAATACAAAAATTTAAAGTGTATACGATGATGCGATTGGAAAACAAGAAATTGTCAAAATACCTATATGCAGTATACAATACACATATTTAAACAATTTCAGAAAAGAATGAAGTGCACCGATGATAACGTTATAATACTAAAATTTGATTAAATTTTGTGATTTATCATTGCTTACAGATACAAATTAATTTCCCCTCTATATCCTATATTCTCATCTTCTCACCAGAAACAGTGGCTGTACGCATCGTGCGAAGTACGTCCGCTTTTTTTGAAAGCTTTTACGGGTCCATTTACACCTCAAAAATTAAGAAAAAAACTCTTAAGTTTTCAATGACCAAACCGACTGAAAAAAATGTCAAAGTGTTTTGGAAAAAATATAATGCTGGGAAAATATATGCTTCAAATGTATTATAATATATTAAATATATAAATATTTGTTGATAATATGTTCGGATCTTTATGATATAATTACTAACTGAATATTATAAGCAGATACAGATTTTTCCGGCGTTTTTAAATTTTTTTTGTAAGGGGGATTCTCAATTTTATAGGAAAACAACGAGGAATTTTCAGACGAAAAATATAAACGACATCCTCAATATTTTGTACGCTGCACCGACTATAGAGCCGTCAAAATGATGCTACGATGGAAAATAATGTGCTTTCTTTGGAAGTTTTTGCTGACTTCAAAATGTTCGAGAGTTTTCAGACGAAAACTCCTCTGAGACATCTTTTCAGCAGAACACAAAATGTTAATATTATCATTATTGTGTTAATCGTCGTTATTTTTATCATATACCTACATTATATGATATTAGTGTAATAAATGTACGATGTGGCCTTGTCTCGGGCCTCACGCTGCAGGATAGGGACGATGTAGTGTGGTGAGAAAACTGAAACGCGCAGCATCATAATATCATAACACACACACACACACTGTCTCCCTACCGGTTCGCCATCGTGTCTGTAAATATGATAAACTAAATGTAAAAAAATCATACGCACACGCACAGACTTACTATTAGGAGTAGGTATGCATACACGTACACTAACACACGTCATGTGGTGTATTCAAAGTCTTTCGGTGCGTACACACACGTTCACACATACGTTCGCACACATATATTATTGTTCCTTACTCGTTTTCGACCGTTCCTATATAAACGAAAACCGGTATTAAAAATTATTTAATATCTATTCTGAGACCGGCGCGAGTGGTGCCGAACGAACCAAGCGAAAAAAGCCAATAGAGCATTCGCGTGTTTTTTTTTTTTTTTTTACTTACACTAAATACTACGTAATTTTTCCCCGTCGAAGTTTCCGGTACAGCATTTGTTCGCGATGGCAGTAAGTATTTTCTCTACAATTTTATAATTACTATAATCCACTGATCGCCGTCACACATGCAAACAAATGGCCAAGTGAAATTTTAACTTTGTCGGTAACCTATATTCTATAAAATACAATTTTAAAATGTTTACAATATGGTTCGAAAAATCTTATATGCGATTTTCGAAACTTTTGTCTTAAAATAAATCCGTAAAAAAATTAAATAATTTTAACCTCAAATAAAAATTAACAAACTAAAAAAAAATTGCTAAAAATAAAATATTATCTTAGTCAAAATGCCCATAACTATCGGTATATATATTTGAATTTCCTGTTTATCGATTTTTCTACACGAGAGAGAATATTTTTGGAAATATTTGGCTGTATAATTATTTCACTAAGTCACTTTTAACTATTTTTATATGACAGTGACGATACATCCCGTAGGACTTACTCGTAGTAACCTATAATACAAAAACAAATAGATGGTGGATAATTGACCTATGATAATACTGGTCTTCTATAGTTCTGTTTTCTAGTATTTATTATTATTGTAATATTTTGTTTAATGGTTTAAAAATGTTGTAAAAGATAATATAGATATTAAAAAAAAAAGAAGTATATTGTAAAGACTATGTAAAATAGTATCGGTCGCGTAAACCAATATTCTTCGATATTTCTTTGGCCCTAGTAAAGAAGAGATTAAGTCAGTTTTGTATAGTTTTTTAACAAGAAATTTATATTTTTAAATATGTTAAAAATGATATAATGGCAGAATTTCCAAATCACGCTATCATTGCATGCTAAATGGCCTTAACTTAAATAAGGTGTTCTAAATAGGTTTAGGTCATATTATAGTTATACGACTTACATCTTTTTATCAAACAAAAACCCTGTTATAGTGATTTGAGATATTTTAATTTTCAGTATAACATGTGTAAAAAACAAAATTACATAACATAAAATTATAAAAATAAAAAATGCTAACAATTTGACTTTTGTAGCCCTTCTTTCCTGGACCAAAGATACAGAGTTTTTATAAAACAGGTGTTTATTGTATTATATATATATATATACATAACGTTATCAAAAACTATCGAATTGTTCATTAAAAAGTTTAGCGATATTGCTCAATAATATCTATTATGTACGATTTCTCAACGGTCTATGCGAAATAATAATAATTGCAATATCGATTTTGTGTTTTTTTTTTTTTTTTTAACTTTAAAGCCATTTACTAATGTTAGTAAACTACATTTGCATAAAGTAGAAGGTATAGTCTAAATATAGGAAATTTCCAATGCCATTCTGTATAATTATTTTACAATAGGGTTGTTCGTCCCCCCCCTTCGCCACTAAATAACGAGAGAGAATGTTGACTACACAGAATTCATGAATATGAAAAAAAAAAAACAAATTTACTTAGAATTATTATGATTCATACCTTGTACAGAGTGTAGTAAATTATTGATTCTAATTTATCAACGGCCGTTCTACAAAGCTCAAGGTAACATAATATTATAGAAACTAGTCTCCGGTATTTCCTCCGCTATAGTACAAAATTCTGAGCAGAAATATTTCGACAAACTTGGTTTCGGGACAGAAAACGCTTTGTTTCCGTCTATGAAAATTACGCCCGTCGTTTTTAAGTAAAAATTATTTTTGCGAATTTCATTTTTTTGATCATTGACCATATCTATTTCAACGTCAATTATTTATAGTGACTATAATTAGGTAGGTATCTATATCATTTGCGAAATTTTCAGTACGTTTTCAAATAAACCGATTCGAATTTTCTTGGTAACCGCTTATAAAAGTCACCCGCCTATAAAAAAATAATCGTAACATTTCTATTTTAGTTATACTATGGGAAATGCGGCGGAAAAACCGTGGAGTTTTTCAAACTCGTGTTTGTAAACATTTATGTTAATATATTAATTATGGTAGTATTCCACACACAAATTCAATATTATATACTAGCTAATATCGATGCAATTATAATAACCAGGGCTACGGAAATTAATGAATATAATACTGAATCAGTTAACTATAAGATAACAAAAATTAACTAGTCAACAATTTAAAAGTTCATTTTTTTTAATAACTAACTAATAGTTAGATGTTAAAAGTTAATTTGAAAATTGTATTTATTTATTAGTTTCAGTGAAGTTTCCTTTTTTTTCGGTTTTTTGTAAAACTGTTATTGTCGTTCCTAATAAATGTGATTAAATAATATGTATAGTTTGTTTTTTTATTTTAAGAAAAAAATAAGGAGAATCAATTTTATACACAGAGCGTTTATTATTTCGAGTATATTAAAATGCAATTATTATTTTACACTCGGAACTCCACCATTCTTATTGAGTAAACAAAAATTATCAAGTCAATAATATATATTAAAAAAATGCTAATTGATGATTAATATTAACATTGAAACACTTATGAACTCACAATTACCTTGTAGCCTTGATAACGATCATACGTAAAAAAAAATAAAATATAAAAATGTCTTATGAAAATGAAATAATATCAAGTAAAACGTTGTAAAATCTATTGACCCCGAACATATTACTATTAGACAAAACTCGTTTTAGAACTTTTAAAGTATAATATTGTATGATGAAATAAATGAATTTCTGTGTACCTACTTACGTTTTAATGACGTATTACCAAACAAGGAACAAAAACTATAATATGATGTATTTGACAAAACTTAAATTAAAAAAAAAAAACTATACAAACAAACGTATAGATTTTCCTTATTCGAAATAGTTTGTTTAAGTAAACGTGATGTGTGTACAAAATATACTGTATTATATTATAGGTATATGCCGATTAACCGATTAACTCGGTAAATAATTTGATTGTCTTTTAACGTTAATTTCAATACTTCACAAACGGCTAACGCATTTATTGCTATTATTTTAAGGCATGGTACACGTAATAATATTACGGTTACGACCGTAGTAACTTAAAAAAAAAAAAAATTGCCGAAAATAACTTCAATTCGATATGACCACAGATTCCATCAGTCTTATACGAAGATACTTTTAAATTCCGTCCTAATAGTAATAATAATATAATAATTACTGTATAGTATGCAGTATTTTAAATACTTTTCAAGTATGTATTAACCAGTGTTTCAAACAAAACTAACAATAAATAAAAATACTTATTATTATAGTTTGAAATTAAATACCGTAGTGTTTGTTTATATGATTCAACAGATGCCATTTTAATTAATCCATAAAATATAATCCACACACTCAGTTTAAATACCTCCTACTGGCTACTATAAATAAATTCAAACATATAAAATTATTCTTATAGTGTACTTTTAAAAATTGATAACAAATAGTGAAACGAAATTATGTTTTCTCTTACGAAAACCGCGTGTATTATTTCGTAATCCTCGATATTTAAATTATTTTTCTTTTCTTTTTTTTTTTTTCAATCGGTATATTATTATAACAAACGTCATTACGACTGTTGGGCTTTTGCCACGATGTAAATCATCAACGACTCAATATAGTTTTACATAACGTTATTATGATGTTTAAAAAAAACCGTAGTCCGGTCGAAATCGCGAAATTCGGTAACAATCTGACTTAACCTAACCTTACCTCCGATTTAATTTATGTTAATATATTATAGTTCAGAATGTGTGGTCATCGCGTATCACCAGACGAGATATTCTTATTTTAACACTGGTTAGTATAACAATAATATAAAATTAATAATAATATTTTGTATTGCCATTATCTTGAACCGTTGTGAAACGATCGGTTTACGTCCAGCGAACCATCGCGGCGATATATACGAATATAATAGTTAACGATTGTCGGATGCAAGATCTCAGTGCCGGATTTAAGGTCGACCGAAAAAACTATTGTATATATACTGTTACTAGGTTGGGCAGTACCTTCTAGACGAATGTCTTAAATACGCATCTCAGATACAATTGTATTCCTCGTCTTCGTGGTATCGATAATATCTATAGCTAATCATTTCAACGTATCTTGTCTCCATATAGACGTCCGAAGAATGGACGGGAATGCGTCGGATTATTTTTCCCTAGGCTTTATCCGAGCATATTGAGTGCCTGTAGTATTTGAGTATATCAAATATACTATATGTACCTTGTATTGCAATAGTATCTACTAGTGTCACGTAAGTACCTAGCACCTTGTATCGATAGAATATATTCTGCAGAAAATCAATCTATATTATTGGGAATCTAGAACTAGATGCATATTTTTGAAATATCTTGATCGTCCATGATTACCTATAGGTATGCATATTAACAGGCTGAGTTATGGTACTCGAAATCATGATCAGCGTCATACTTACACTAATCTCGTCTGCAGACACTATATGAGTCGTTATCATACACCTAAATCATATTATACAATAAATGATTCCCTATGTTATTGCGTTGGTCGTCGTTACTCTTACTACTCGTTACTCGGGTTTGTCGTTGGGTTTTTTTTTTTTTTTTTTCAACAGTCCGTGATTATTTATCACATCTCGTTATACCAAAGTCAAACACCCGATATTATTATACGATAAAACCGGCATCACTCAAAAATCGATTTCCTCGTCATTATTTCATCACAATATTATAATATATGATTTATACGAATACAAAAACATATAGACGAGTGTAGTTGGCATCAAGAAATAATAATAATAATTATATATATATATGTATATTATTTCTGGTCGGGCAACGCCTTTTATTGTGCCTATGTACAGGCGTCTTGACAATGAGCTGGTTTGTATATTGGCATACTCCTACGTCCGCAACAGTGCCGTGTAAATGTGTGGGGTACGGCTTCCCGTCTACATATCTACCAGGTTTAAAACACCGATTGCGAATCGATAGAATAATAAAATTATGATTTTTTTTTTTTTTTTTCGAAAACGACACAAATAATTGCAATTATAAAACTTACGAAACGAAAGTTGCCGTTTAAGTTTTTTTACGATGGTAAAATTGTTACAAAAAAAAAAAAAAAAGATGTCTTTTACAAATTCCTAAATCCATAATATTATTATTATTTATTAGGTACCGTATTTGTGTTTTAAAATGAGTCGTACAAAACGTTATGAAAAGATTTTTTAATATTAGAATCGTGTAGTGTGTACAAAATATGCGTTCTTTAATGGTATAAAATTGTAACTACTCGTGTGCGTGTATTCAATGCGAAAATGCATTCATAAAAAATGCAAAAAGTGTATTGAAAAGCTATGCCAAAAAAAAAAATAATAAAAAAAAAAATACACCTCTAAATAATATTAAAATAATAATAATCATATTAGAGTCTCCTCGCTATCGCTCTCGGTAAACGTTCCACTTTTGAGACGTCGATGACAGACGGTTTGAAAATAAAAAAACGTTCGATCAGTTTTTTTTTTGGCAAAACATTTTTGCACTACTTCAAATAGCCGACGAAATCGTGTCAAAGACGCGCGCGATGATGGCCGCTGACGACACAGGGGTTTTTTTTTATCAAACCGTTTAAAACTTTTTCACCTAAAACCGTCGTGGGATGAGTGCGTCCGAATTATATCCGAACATTACGACCACCCGCAATGACGTATGTACCGAATCGCGTTTGTTTTTAGTGAATTTTTTGAAAAATAACAATAGTAATAATAAATTAAGTTTTTATAGTGGCGGTTGGTTATTGGTCATCTCCGCAGCCGATGCCTGTCTAAATTCAACGAAATATCCGAGACCACAATTTGATTTCCGGGGTGTTATGAAAAGGTCGCGATAATATTTTATGTGTCAAGTTGAACAGTTTAATCGTAGCGGTCATTGTGAATTAAATCCATTTAGCCCAAATACATAAAACTACAGAAATTATTTAAACACGGCCTAAATATTGACATTACTTATTAATACTGTGAATAGGATTATTATAGTCATATAGGAATTTAGGTTGCAATGAACAAAAAACTGAACAGAATTGAATCTAACCTAACCTAACGCGTTGAATGTGCAATTTTATAATTCTGCAATGCTATAATAAAACAGCTGGACAATCGGTGGGCCCGTTTTCTTGCGAAGTTTAGGAGTAATGCGCTTACCCGTGTTCGGCTATCAGCTATAAATAGGGAGTGGAGAGAATATGGCGGGATACTTATGAAGAGCAAGCGGGTATTTTTGTCAGAGATAAATAATTGAATCATCTAGACTAGATTTTTTAATCGTTTTTTTTTTTCGTAATTTTTAATTCTTTTTAAAAATAGGCAAATTAAAATATTAATGTGATTTAATAAATTAATTATTAAGTTTTTTGTTAATCAAACAACCAATTTTGAATCTAAGTATGTTCCTAATATCATAATTATATATTTTTTATTTTTATCTAGATAATTGTCATTTAACTTTATCTACATATTTTTATATTTATCATAAGTATATAACACTGCTTCCCAGTGATGTCGGGTGATCCTATTCAATAGGACATTTATAGAACATCGCTATTGATATGACCACAGAGCAAAATGTATCAAGGAATGAGGTAAATTCTAACTCGTTCAGCTGTACACGTTTCGCAAATCCGAGAATTTACTACGTGTTTTGCAAGTGTTAGCCTCGATATAAAATAATGAAAGAATAAAGATCAGACGAAAAACCAACAACCAACATCATGTATATTGTAGCTCTAAATTACCAATTTAAACAACGAGTAACGGACGGTAGTACTTACTGTATATTCGAGTGAACGTTTTACTACTGTAGGCTACTACTGCAGTATGATTATTTCGAAAATATTTTTGCGATTCTATCGATCGTAAACTCATCAGAGATTATCCTATGAGATGTCATCGCTTTAGCGCTAAATCGTTTTGCTTTCATTTTGTATTATGCGATTTTTGTCCGCCTCCGAGATCAAGGTTCAATGCCTTTCAATAATATAATATGCAGGCATTTAAACAATAATAACTGTATTATATTATATTTTTATGATAAATACACCACGCGCGGGTATAATTCACCCACGGCGCGACATCGAGAAAAAAATAAAGTCAACTTTGCCTCGTTTTATGTCCATAAAAAACTCGTTCGGCTCAAAACGATACTTATTTATCCTTGTCCGGAATATACAATAATAATAATATAATATTGCTATTATGCGCGTTTAGCTCAGTGACCTATAGACGATTTGTGTGTGTTTTTTTACCGTGTATAAGTATTATGTTGACATAATCTGAATTTGCATACCGGTCGCGTGTCATCCTCGATATTAACATTATAGTCGCCGGGTTCTTCTTCTCTCAAGAGTGTGTGCGATATATAAACGAATGCATCACAAAAAAAAAAAAACATCTTTTTACTCACCGTATTTGGGACATCCTAATTTTAAAACATTTACGGCTTTACTGGTTACAAATACTGAGGTTATGCAATCGAATAAAAGGGAAACAATCGACTTACACGCGGTACTACAGCCGGTTATCGTGGAACGTGAATTAAAATTATTTTTCGGTAATAATTTTACCAAATAAAGACAACGTATTGAGTCAAAAACTATTTAATCGAGTTTATTGTGCCGTGAGACAGTATTTATCTGAAGAAAACCAACGTGTCCCTCACGAAACGATGGCAAACGAGATTGCAGGTTTTAGTAGGGATGTAAATTGTAAATTGGAATTGTAAATTTAAATAATTGTATGAATTAAAAACCATACAGGTGGGCCCCTGTTTTCGATGCCATCAACTCGATGGAAAGTTGAAAAGATAGGATATATTTATATGCCTGTACGCAACGATAAATTATTTCCGATTTTCTGAGTTACATTCGGTTGAATATTTGTTGATTAATTTATTAATTTTAAACAAAAAATAAATTAAATAGTTAAAAAATTTAAAAAATTCAGCGATAACATGAATACTGTATAGGTATTATACAATTTATCGTGTGGTAGTTTTGTAGTTATGTATGTATTTAATCTTGTGTTCTTGTTCTGGATGTTTATTAAATTACGCGGTTCATTGTTTTTTTTTAATATTTTTTGTGTGTGTATGTGTGTCTGCTGTGGCTGCATAAAGTATGTTTACAACTTTCACTTATAACATTTGCGGGTACATTAAATGTAAAATCCATTCGACAATATTTGTTTAATTGCGATTTGTTTAAGTGCATTACACAATACGAATAACTAACCACGGGGTAGATATTTTTAGAATTTTGACTAACGATAAAATTATACGTATTAATTTTACTTAAACTTGTTTTTACTTTCGGAAAACACTTTCACGGTTAGTAAAAATAATCGAATATTTCATAATATTGTACCATAAAATACGTGCATTTTTCGCCTGACGATACTTTTCAAGATTACCAATAATTTTTACGTTTTTTTTTTTTTATATTAGCTATTTTTGGTTCCAAATGCTCACACATATATTTTTACATAATTTCACACAGCACCTTAAGGTACGGAATTTTTACTCTACAATTTTATTTGAAATATTTGTCAGCATTATCAAACAAGTTATTTTCATTTTATTTTTCTTGGTTTTTATTGATTTCTGGGTTTTATTGGGGGGGAATAAGGGAAAACCTATTTTGTAAAAATTCACTCAAAATTGGTTTTTCGTTTGCAATAAATTACCATTGCATACAGTGTATAAACTAAATTATCATGTTTATCCTACCTTCTCAAAACACTGGCCTAACTTAATTTAATACTATACATACAAGGTTTTGAAGGCTTATTAATTAATTACTTAATTTTGAATTATGTTAAGTGCGTTAAGTTAATGTCAATTGTTTTTAGTTTTAACTATATAATAATATTGCATGTACAATATATTTGAATAAGTTCACTACAGGCTGATATCTCTTGAATATTTTAGAAGTTAATAAAGATAATCAAATTCTATTTTTTTTTTTATTACTCATAGGGATGAGGACTACAAATATTTATATTTTAATTAAATTTATTTTAAATTAATCCTCATTTAACTGTAATAATATTATTACTCGTTTATTTACATGACAAACATAAAATAGTCTATGCCGTAGACGATTTGGACCAAAAAAAAACTGCTTAACTACGCCACGTTATTTTACCTATTTAAATCAAATTTGAAAAATTGGTAATTCAACGTAAGATTAAACAAATTTCAAAACTCAAATCAAATAACCACGAAAACGAATTATTATAATTGATTTCGTATACTGGTCTAAAAAAATAACAACAATTATTTTTATTTTAACTTTAGTAAACCTGTAATGCACTATTCGGTTTGCGATACAGGTTTTGCTAATCATCAGATTATCATTCCGCAGCAGACGATGTGGTCCGCATAACCGCTTTTGGAACACTGTCATAAAATATATATTCTAAAATGTTCTACCTACTCGTATAATATTACGCGCTCGTCAAAATATCCAAATATTACTCATAATAATATTATATTCTGAATTTGAACACTAAAACTATTATTTAATATAGACGGTATCGACTGGCTGTACCTATCTAGAAGTCAAATAATAATATTTGGACGAGCGCTTGTTATCGTCTCCGGCGGTCCGTCCCGTGAGCATTTATTAAAATCACGTTCGCTCAAACAGAAAGTCGTTCAAATTGAGATTAAAATCAGAGCGCACGTCTCTTTTAATAGTAAAAAGATGTCCTAGGATAATGGGGACGGGTGCAGCTACTGTTATAGATAATTTAATTTTGTATCTGTAAGCAACGATAAACCATTGCTTATAAAAAAACGATTTTGAGGGGAGTTCAGTTGATAGTGATGCTTTGTCAACAATATATATATATCATTTTATAGTAAAATAATTAAATAGATTTACTATATTTTCTTTAATCATATATGTTTAATGTTGTAACGATTTTCTCAGTTTTCCTAAGTTTTTCCCGGTTTTCCCATGTTTTATTCCGGTTTTTTACATTTGCTGGGAAAACTACTGAAAAAATCACAAAATGACCTTCCTACCAAGTACCTGTCCACGTCGATTTTCTTTCAGAATAAGCGCCATACTTAGAAATCCGAGCAAGATTTCTGGTAGAAAAGTTTGCATAACAAACCGAGCGGTATTTTCGAATAAAATATTCCAAGCGAGCGATGGCTAGGGTCTCAAAATGCATTTCCTTTCCGAAATCTCGTTTGACATGCGATATCTAGGCATACAACAGAGACGTACCACCATTAAACTACGACAGACATAATATAATATTGACAATATTGAGTTATCATATTTCTTTAACATAATACATATTATAATATTCGCTATAATTTTTTATAAGCTATAATTTCGAAACTCAATCAATCAGTCTGCTCAATTCTGACTTCACCATCGTTCTTAAATCGGCAATATAAGTGATCATGTTCAATATTAAAAGTTGAAAAATTAGATTTGTTCCACTTTATTTTTTACTTACATTATTTTTATCGAAATTTGATTTTAAAATTCCTTAAAAAAAAAAAAAATACTTTACTAAGCTCAAATTTTTTTTTTTAAACATTTCTGCTTAGCCTTACAATATTTTACAACAAAGTACCTTTTAATAAAATTCTCGTAGTAATATGGGTATTTACCTATCCATGAAATATTAAAGTATAATACATTTAAATCATGCACATTAGGTCTATTAAATTTACAAATATTGGTCCATAGTGATGGTTAGTGATGGTTACTTATCCTAACGATGTTGTTTCGTATACATTACATTATTTCGTTTCAGTGAAATGTCGATTTGACACAGTGATTTGTATTAAACAACAATATTATATAATTATGTTGAATATTATTGGAGTTTTTTTGTGTTTTCGTTTGTTAACTTGCAATAATATTAGCATACTCGCACAATGCGATTTGATGGTAATATTATACGTATTACGTATACCTGCTCGTTTCATTGTTATAATTATACGCATTGAATAATCAATAACGTAACGTTGTAGTCATATAATAAATATACTCTTATTTTGAATTCAATTTTCCCATATCATATATTCAGTGCCTGCACTAAATGTCCGTTTCCGACTGTGCCCCACGGTCGAAAGTTTTGAATACTGACGATTTTCACAGTTTGTCAGGTATATAATCTTTTTATTTGTGAATTTTGTTATATTTAATAAAAAATGCAAAGTTCAATAAAAAGACCTAACAGAAGTTTTCAAAAAAAATTATTGTAATCGAATACACTGCATGTACGTGGCGTAACCGTTTGTCGTGTAAAACGTGTTTTGAACAAAACAACAAGTCGTGCGATCTAGTTGTTAAAATTTATTAAGACGTGATAGTTGTAAATGTTCAAAGTTCTTCGTAAATAGTACAGTATTTTAATATTATAAGAGTATTCAGAGTACGACTGTGGCGACGGCGCAGCGATCTCAAAGAGCTGACGCAGATGTCGTGAATCTCTACTATATTTGACCCATTTTAAAATATTTTGATTATAAGGAATATATGTATCCCTCTCGAATAACGAATGCTCATTTATATTCATTAAATTATTAAATTTTTTTTTAATAGAAAATATTAAAGTACTCGGTCGAATTTAAAACTTATAGTCACACTGTTATAATAGTATAAATAAAGTACAATAGTTTTGCATTTATGTTGTGTAAGCATAACATTACATTATATATTTGATAAGAAACTTGATAAATGTTGTATATATTTATCCCGGTTGATGACTGAAAAAATCGGAGAAGGGGTGGTCAATGGTCATTGTATGTCAATTTTGAGTAACGCCTGCAAAAATTAACGTAACCCCCACTGACACTTAACCTATACAATGAAAACGATTTAATTGTGTGTATGAACATAAAACGTTCTAAAATCGACATAAAATAGACGTCCTAGGATAATGGGGTCGGGTGCAGCTACTGTAATAAGTACTTTAATGTAAACCTCTAAGCAACGATAAACCGTTACTAACAAAAAAACGATTCTGGGTGCAGTTCAGTTGATAGTGATGCTTTGTCAACAACATATATATGCCATATGTCATATTATGATAAAATAATTAAATAGGCATTATATATTTTCTTTAATAATATTCGTTTAATATTGTACCGATTTTCCGGGTTTTTTTTTTAATTTTTCCGGTTTTCCTATGTTTTTTCCCGATTTTTCACATTAGCTGGGAAAACTCTTGGGAAAATCGAAAAATTACCTACCTAAAGTACTTTTTCAGTCAGGTTTCCTTTTAAAAAAAGTGCTATCATTGTAAATCGAAGCGAAATTGCTGGTAGAAAAATTGTTCACAGGAAAAAAGAAGGCTGTAATTTTTTTTTAACTAATACTTACATTTTATATATTTTCCCGTTATTAGTCAGTTTTTTCGATTTTTCACAGTTTTTGAGAAATTTCCTGGGAAAATCGAAGAATGACCTCTTTAAAATACCTTCTGAATCAGATTTCCTTTAAGAAAAAGTGCTATATGAAATTTTCTGTACGCAGAAAAAAAAAAGGCCATAATATTTTTTATTAATACTAATACTTACATTTCGTACATTTTCCGTTTTTTCGATATTTTATCTCAGTTTTTCCAGGATATTATTAAAACCGCTTGAAAAATCAAAAAATGACCTCCCTGAAGTTTCATATAGATAAAATTTTCTTTCAGAAAATAAGCTACACTTGTTACATCGGAGCAAGATTTCTGGTAGACAAGTTTGCACAACAAATCAAGGGGTATTTTGCGATTAAAACAATTCGAGCGAGCGATGATTTGGTCTTTAGGTACAGCTAAAATGCATTTGTTTTTTCCTTGTTTAAGTAAATGGGGAAAAAATGCAAACAATTTGTTTCGGAACTCGGGTTTGAACTCGCGAATCCCAATAGGCATATTTTACGATTAAACTACGACAAACATATTTTACGTTTGACAATATATAGTTATTTAACATAATATATATAATATCAGAACTTCAAAAAGCTATAATTCCGAAACTATGTCAATCCGCTTAATTCCTACTTCATCATCGTTCTTAAATCGGCAATATACATTTGTTCAAAACAAAAAATTGGAAACTTAGATTTGTTCCACATAATTTTTTGCTCGAAAGATTTTCGTCAAAATTTGAAATTAAAATTACTTTATAAAAAAAATATACATTAAACTCAATTATTTTTTACCACAAAGTAAGACTTTTAATAAACTTCCTGTTAAATTTTCACGCATTTTTATTTAGTCTAACAATTTTACCAAACAGTATCTACCGAATAAAAATTACATATAAAACTCGTCAAATTTAAATGTTTATAAATAGTTCGAAAATGGCTTAAATTTTTTGAATATTTTACCATGCCTAAAAAAAGCAAATATAAGTTTTCTGTACAAATTTCAAGTCTCAACAAATATTTTAACTGATTTACAATCCCGTTTTTCTTACACTTTATCCTGGTTTCGCACAGATATTTATATAACCGCTTTAAAAATCAAAAAATTAACCTCCCAAAAGAACTATCTGGACAATATTTTCTTTCAGAAAAAATGCCGTGCGTAAATATCGGAGCAAGATTTCTGGTCGAGTTTTTGTATGCAGTAAAAAAAAAAAAAAATCGATTTTTTAAATAATTCGTAATTATGTAATTAACCTTTTCCTGCATTATTTCTTATACTGTGTTAAATATTGAGCGTACCAAAAAACACTTTTTTTTTCATTTTTAACACTTATCTTATTATAATATAAAGAGACAACGCGTTTTTTTGTTGCTACCGCTAAAAATAAACAACTTTGTAAAACCAATGAATTCTTCGCTACACTCAGAATCTAAAATAAACTTACTATTACATAATAATAATAATTGTCAATCTTTTTATTTTCAGTTTACCGTTGTGTTGGGGTTGGCTGTTTTAAGCGTAGCCAATCAAGGCCACACATTTACAATCACTGCTACAGGAGTTAAACCAACCATTAAACCATTTTCGCCTTTCACTACACAACAAGTAAATGATTAATATAAACGCATTATTTAATTTCGATAAAAATGAATACTTACAGCGGTTTTTTTTTGACAGCCACAACTGAGCGACCTGACCAAATCGACGTTCGGTTCGAAAAACGAAGCACCGAAACCGTTTGGAGCGCCGTTTGAACCGTTCAAACAACCGTACCAACCGTATCAACCGTTTAAACAACCGTATCAACCGTACCAACCGGGTCCGTTCAGAACAAACTATCAACCGTTCGGACCTTTCCCGGGTTATCCGGGACCTATTGTATACCCCGGTCAAGTCGGTTATCCATCAGGGCCGTCTGTTTACCCGCAGCAGCAGCAACATCCGGCTTTCCATTTCGACCAACACAAGCAGTTCGGTTTGCAACCATTCCCGTCGGCACCGTTCGACCAGACGGTCAGTCCATTTAAGCTCGGATCTTCGAAAAAATTCAACAAGAGCCCGTCGGGATTTTTCGATTTCAACCAACCGGGCAAATACTTCCAAGAACATCAGTTCGGCGCATATCATGGACCAGAATTTTCCTCGGCCGTCGTGCCAGCTGAACACAACTTGAAACAGTCGAAACCCAAAGACATATTCTTAGGAAAGCCCTCCGTGCCGATTGTACCAGCTTTCTCGTCATTCGGATTTTCTAAAGAAGGCGGCTTTGGATTACCGTCTCCGGCATCGTTCGGATATAAATCGCCAATCGTTCCACCGACACAGGTACGAAAACACCGAATTAAATACAGTGAAAAACAGAATACTCCACATACCCCTATAGGCATATACATATTTTCCAGGGTAGATGCAGGCTAAGATTAACTAATCAGTGAGGTAGGCATAAGTCTAGAGCTGCACAATGGCAGGAGTTGTTTTCTTTCTGATAATACGCAATAGCATACCAAAATTATGAATTTTAAAATGTATTAAATGATATAACTTTGTATCATAAAATTCAAACCACTCATAAGCTATAAGGTACAAATGTATAATTGTAGTTTTTACAGTTTAAATTCCAGGTGTTGTCTGTCTATTAACTATTATCATTTAGATAATCTTAAAATGAAAGGCTATTAAAAAATCCAGTCCAGGGCAGATATATATGTTTTCGCATACTTTTATTAGTTGGTCAAACAAATAACTAGCTAAAAAAATGCGTTTCATGGCCTAACGATTCTGTATACAAAGGATTGCATTTTAGATCCATTTCCCCAGCCTCCCTTAATTGGAATTTTGTATTTTGGTTTTTCCACTCGTTTGTAAAGATTTATAAAAAATTAGTTTTGCTACAAAATAATGCAAATCAAAGGGGGTTGGGGAAATGCCCCAAATTTTCGAATTTAGTATTTTTGTTTTTACCATTCGTTTGTAAATCGTTATGGGGGCTGGGGAAATAGATCTTTGTATTTTGTATTTTTGGACTTTTTGAACACTTTTTAAGAAAATATACTCATATTAGTATTTTTTAATGTATATTTAAACGATTTTATCTACCCTAATAATTATTATATTTACAATTTGCCGGTGAAACATAAAGAAACATGTGGTTCATTCCGGTTCAAACATATTTTTTACGAGTAATATCTTATTATCTGATATAGTGACGTCCTCTCAATCTTTTATCGTACCGTTTTTTAAACAGTGAGTATGTCTATATAATAATATTAATTAGTCATGCATAAAATATCTTCGTCCGTGACTTGCTATATTATTATAAAATTATCCTACATTAGTGTCGTAACGCTGACGGAACCTCTTTCAGAGTGCATTTGGTATTATGTTTATTGTGTATAGGTATTTGCATCCTGTTCATATGTGTTTATAACAGTTTATTAATTAAGTTTTGAATTAATTATTGATTTACAATATATTATTCAAATATTAAAATTGCTAAAGAAGTATGACGAGAGTTTCGGTTATAATATTTACATGTTAAAACCGTCGACATTTTACACAACGTTTTGGAAAAAGTAAATTAATAATAATATTTGAAGAGTGTGCAGTTCAGAATCGACAGTAAACGACGTTTCGTCCCTATAATGCAATTGCTTCGCCCTACAAATATGTGAATAGAGAGGCGAAGGGAGAGACTTTTTGACACCTTAACACTTAGGAATAATTTCGATTTAAAAATAATGTTCAAGATGGATTCGACTATTGCATAATGGAAACAACATGAGTTAGTGATCTCTACCGGTATTTTACTTATACTTTAAACGACAGAATTCACGCAGTGACCGTGAACCCAAAAATATTGTGAGCCATTAACCGACGGATTTTGTGGCCCGCAGATGGACACTTTCACAATACGCCCACGAGGATAATATCATTACGATCAAGACGATTACATTTTGTATGTGCACGCACAATGTATATATTTTGATTTATATCGATGCGAAATGATTATTTAGTTTTCGTGTCCAGTATACGAAATAAACTATTGAAAACGATCTCAGACTAGATTCAGTAAAGAATTATAGCTATTATTATAACGAGATAATTATTACGTCGCGATTATTATTATTCAACGTATAGTCCTGCAACAAAATTATTCCTAAAGACACGCCATAGAATACGCAATTAAACCATACCAAATAACCAAAGAAACTCGATTTCGTAATAATTACGATTACTATATTCCTCTACTCATCTATTATGACGATGATCTACAGACTTATCACCTGCTGATCGTTAGTATTGTTCAATGCCTAAGAGGTTATAATAATATTATATTTATAGGTATTATAGTTTTTTTGAAAAACTATCGTAAACGACGATAGGTTCTACTTTATTGGTTTTATTATCGCCGTTGAGCATATCCATATTATATACCTGTTCGCATAGGATGTTAATATTTCGTTTTAATTTTTTTTTTTTTTTTTTTTTTTTTTTTTTTAGGTTAGCCAGTCTTTATTAAAGACCCTGCCACCGTTCGTGAAAAACACATTTTCCATAGGTCAGAACTTTAGCACGACACCCGCCACCACCACCTCGACCGAAGTCTCGTCGTCATCTTCGAACGAAGAACCGGCAACACCGACAGCGTCGGAGGTCACGGGCGAGCCGTCATCGGCATCACCCGCAGCGGACCCGCAGCCCACCAGCCCGTCGCAGGAGGAGGTCACTGCCAGTGTCGCCGCCACCGCCACCGAAGTCGCGACCAACAATGAAGCACCTGCGGCTGATGACATTGCAGCAGCCCAGCAACAACAACAAAGCGAACAACAATCCAACTTGTCAGAGGACAATGATCCCAAAATCGACAACACTGACGCCGTCACCGTCTCCGCCGCCACCGGCGAGAATACGGATTCTGTTCAGTTGACCGATTCGTCCCAAGTGTCCACCAAAAGTGAGTCAGCCGCCGAGCCTGCCGTGGTACCCACCAAAGAAGTCATTGAGACCACTGTTACCGGTGATGCAAGCAGTGACCCCAGCGAAAGCTTCTCGGAAGCCACGATATTCGAAAGCTCCACGGATACTGTTGCTTCAGCAGGTTCCTCTCAAGAGACCGATTTTGGAAAATCCGAACAAGCCCAAGCAAGTCTGACTCCCAAAACCAGTAAGTAATATATAGGTAAACGAAATAAACGATTTAAGCAAATACGGTTAAAAATCGAGAAATTGTAGACTGAGTAGACAGATTTTATGGAAGCACGACTTCGTTTGAACTTAGAATTATTGAAGTCATTAGTAAAGTAGGCACGAAAAATTCATTATAGCTGTGCCAAATAGTCTGAGCATAACATATTACGTGATATGTCGTGGCAAGTGATTTAAATGTTTTATTTTTTACTATTAAAACCCGCTATTTCCGCAATAAAATTCTAGACATTTTTCTATAAATATAAAATTTACAACGGGTGTAGTTTTAAAATGTTGCTCCATTGAAATGACATTTTGACATATTAAACCCATAGACAACCTAATTAATAAGCAGAAAAAAAAACCGAATTACATCTAACTAATAATTGCGGCTTTTATTCAAAATATATTCGCCTTTTAAACCATGTGCCCGGGTGGAAGTTCTTCCTCCGCCCTTTCTCCTTTAATCCGGTTCTGTAGACAACTTTGAAAAATTTTAGAAAAACAGGAAGAATATTAATAATAGGTCACATACCATGCCATGATAGTTTTCTCAAGTCGATTAACGCATAATTTAAAATTGGAATTAAAAAACCATGGATGGAATATACACGGTAAATTCTTAAAGACCCGAAAGTGAAAAATTGATCTGAGTTTTAAAAGAGCAGCACGGAGAACTGCCAGCTTCATTCTCGAAAGATTAAAGATCTGAACAACAAGAAGAACTAGACATACTTTTTTCGGAATAACGACGTATCCGATATGCAATTGTTATTCTTTCATTTAATAATATAATAGTATTTAAAAATATATTATTGCATTATTGTTACAACGATTTCGGATCCAATCAATTAAAAATTATATTATGATATTATGATCCGTCCAACAATATTATATCAGACCCATTGTCATTAAATATAATATTATGAGTTGACCGCTAGCGTTCAATGACTTACAAATTATTATTTGTATTATTTCGTTTGTCTGTCTTAGCAATTACAAAGATCACCTCGAGTGATGCAGTATAGTATAGTATTACTTAATGAGGCCAATGTACCGTTTTGGGATTACGATTGTTTATAATCCACGGTGAAGAATTTAATATTGTTCAAATTAAAAAAAAAAATCTATCTTACGATATTAGTTTGACGTGCCGATTTTTGCTGCGGTGAATTTGATAAATCTTTGTTGGCACGATTTTACGCGTAGTAATAACCGACCACAGGTTCATTATAAAAATTTGATGAGTAGGAATATACTCGTACCTATACCTAGCTATGATTTTAATCGTGTTTACAATTATGACTATGCAGATTAATAAATGATGAGTACATAGGAGCAAATGGGCAGAATACTTTTTTTGGAAGGAGAACTTACCACACTTTGTTTAATATTGATTATGTATACATAGTATTTACTTGATAAAGACTTAATTTGGGGGACTTGGATAAGTTTTGAGGGGCTTGTAAGTGTGTAGTAGAATCGAATACAATTCTAAAAAAAGTTGGGAAAATAAAATACATTAAGTAATTTAATTTGTTAACGATAAAAGATTCTGAAAAGAAAATATTTATGGAGGCACTTTTCGTGGAAATTTGTACAAAATATATAAAGTCCACATCACATTATATGATTAATATTATAATCGAACGGTAATTTTAATTAATATTTTTATTATAACGTATCGAATGGTAAACACGATGTGCATATTAGCACGCCAATCAGAGAACATTTAAACAAATCTATTAATTGGCGTTCGTTGTTTTTTTCAAAACTAATTAAAAACTGTTGATAATTATACCAGCATAAAGTCAAAAAAAAATTACGTCTACTGTGCGGGTAACGATTTGATTCAATTTTAGACTGAAATAAAAATCCAATTATACACAGGTGTTCCATTTAAGTGACTACACTCGATATTTCGAAAATTATTGACTTTACAAATAAAAAGTTTTGACAATGGAAAAATAAGCACCTCTTCAATGTTTCATTGACTTTATTTTTTGTCACCCCTATTTTTAGGGGTGAAACGACTATCTACTTTTAATTTTCAAGGAACAATCATATATTTAAAATTCCATAAATAGTTTGTTAATTTAAATACATTTTGGCGTCTAAATTGTTATCTTGTCACTGTTAACAAAGTATCCACTTTTAAGTTTGGGTAGGAGAGAGTAGTGGAGCACTATTAAAATTCTGCGTGCCGAGTGCCTTCACACCAACAATTAATGTAACATTTTTAGAATTCTTTAGTTCTTAAATTGCAAAAAAAAAATTTGAAATATTTTAAAAGTCACTTTTCACAATATCAAGTGTAGCCACTTAAACAAATCACCATGTATTATTTTTACCATGGTAAAATAATTATATTATTATTATTATCAAGGCCGTACTTGAGGGTGGGGATTTTAGGGGTTCAACCCGCCCGCCCCCTAAAAATTGTGTATGCTACGGAAAATACATATTTTAGTCAATAAAACTGAAACACCACACATTTTTAGTTTTTAATCCCCTTCCTAATAAAAAATGATTTTATTATTATTATAATTTTTATGTATACATAAAAACCAAAACTAAATAATTTAATGAAACTCCATGGATAACTTACTGTACAACTCATACATGAGCAATACAAAGAGAATAATAATACAACGCATGTCCGCTTTTAACCTAACCTAATATAATGACGTGTGCTTTAAGAAAAACAGTAATTATAATTTTTAAATATGTAAATAATTCGTTTTGTTACAGATAACTTTCCGGGTCAACAGGCTGGAGAAACCGCGTTTGTGTCAGACCTGTCGACAGCGAATCTGTTCCCAACATCTAAATTCTCGAACTTCGAGCAATCGATCGACCTCCGGCAACCATCGTACTACTCGTACATTCCGCAATACAATCAGTTAAATAAGAACCTACCCTCCCATAGTGGAGGGAATTTCATTTATGAGTTCGGTTTTAATAAGAAAAACGAACAATCTGAGAAGGATAAATCTACAAAAGAGGATGAAAAACCGGAGTTAACAACGGTGACAAATCCGTCGTCCTCCGAGGTGTCCAATACGTCTGTTGCAGCGCCTTCCGGTGCGGACAACTTACCGAAGAAAATCAACGCGGTTCAAATAATTCAAGACGGATCATTCGACCCATTCAACGGACAATTGCCGTTATTGTGAGTATATCTATAATTAACCTACAACAAGTGATTATGGACACCAATCAAGACCGAAAATATTTCGGGTTTTCTATAGTCGATTCTATCGTGTAGTGTTGCTTTTGATCCGTTACGACAAATTTCCGGTTGCCAAACGAATTTGTTCGTACGAGAAAATTTTGTTTTAATCACACCAAAGTGTGTATAATAATCTGTTATGTAAAACTCTACCTCAAGGTTGATGACGTAGGGACCTCTGTTTCTAACTAACGAGATTTCTGATAGCGTTTTTCTCTCACCGTGGTCGTGGCGAACAAGGCCGCTGGAATGTTTAATTGTTGTCCATCAAAACACATCTCCTCTTTCTTAGGAAATTTTTTTATCATATTTTATTATTATTGTCGATCCAGCCGATGGGGAATCCTTTAGATCATAAACAATGGATAGAGATGATACCCGTTTCCGTCAAAATAATACTGGTCGTCTCTGCCAAATACAGTTTGGAAACCAATGGTGTTAGTATAAATACAGCGATAGATAATCGTCAATAACGAAAATATAATCAGCATCAAATAATCGATAAACCATGAATATAGCGATAAGTAATTCATAGTTGATATCGAAAAATACAAAAATTAGGTTTAACATTTGAGTATAAAAATAATTACTGATTTAAACACACTTTTAGATAGACATTTTTGGTCCCTTCCGAAGTATCGGACTGCAATTATAAAAAAAAAAGTCCAATGAAACTAGTAGGTACACTTTTATCAAAACTGTTTCTTTTATTTTTGTTGTATTTTAATTTTTAGCTGCAATTTAAAACTGTGATTTTTTTTGACTTTTATATCCTACAATTTAACTGTATTATTTGACTTATTATTATTACTTGATTGTACATAATGAGGTACATGGTTCTCAAATTATATTTGGCGGAAACATCTTTTCACTAAAATACATTTTGGCGGAAACGGTAATCGCACCTTTTCCGTATTTGGCGGAAAACGGTTATGCGTAAATCAGGAAACTGATTTTTTTACGGGAAAAGGTCATACCCACGGATAGAGCTATAAGCAATTAATGTGTCACCAACATATCAAGAGGGCGTCTCACTTCTGCACATGCGTCAAGTACTGTTATCAATATCCGGCCGATGGGGAATCCCTATTAGGGATAACAATAATCACCATCCGGAATCGTAAATCATTTTACATTTTTTTCATTTCTACACTCATATACCCAGAGCCTGATTTAGAATTTTTTAGGCCCGGCAAAAAAAAAAAAGTTGGCCTATTTTTAATCCATTTAATACGAATATTTCTTATCTCATACCCATATATTTTGTATGAAACTGAAAAAAATAATTTATATTTTTACAAGTATTTTCAACTGTGTAAACTTTTTTTGATATTCTTCAATTTTAAAGATTAATTAAAATTAAAAGAATAATTAAATCTAGTAAGTGGGCCCCTGATCCGCACGGGCCTTGGACAAATACCCACAATATCCTTGCGTAAATAGGGCCAAGCATAAACCTATAAAACGATAACATTTTTCAATATTAGGTGGGAAGCTCCATAAGTTAGGCGTTAAGTTAGTAAACATTAGAGGACGACTGACCGCTGGTTCGATTTCCGTTGAATCGTCAACAATTTATTTCGCTTATTATTATTTTTTACATGGTCACTAGATATGGGACTTAGACAGGGTTCTTATCATTTTGGAATAACTGTACGCCATTTGTGTTCATATTGTCTATTAATAGTTAGTATTCTTAGTACGGCACACACAAGCCCTTAGCTACGGAGAACAACGGGGAATTCCCCCCTTGAACTTTTCGTTGCCCCCACAAGTATTAAATGTGTAAATGTCGTGGTATGTTATAATTTAGTAGGTCCTCCCTAAAATTTTGTTCATTCCACCCGATGATTTGATCTGGCTAGGAGCCTGGTCACACAATAGAAAATAGCAATGTTCTTCTCACACCGTGGTCGTGGCGAATACGGTTGTTTTCGGGCGTTTATGAAGTAATTGTTATATAGTAAAATATTAACCGCACTCGAAATAATATAACTAAATCCCAAAATATTATACATGAAATGGTAAAAAACAAGAGTTTCAGAAGACGAGTCCATGAATTTTCTGTCCCAGGATATTCATAAATTAAGGTTTTTAATGATATTGGTCACAATTTACACAGCACATGTTAATAATACTGAACGTTTTTATTTCCGTTTACTATTTCATCACATAAGCACCCACATCATTTTAAATTCTGAGTAGATCGAGGAATATTACAATTTTACAATGGTGTTTATTTTTTCTTCTGTGGACAACTTTTCTACCAGCAATTTTGAAAATGATTTAAAAATGATTTAATAAAAAATCATTTTTTTTTTTTTTTTTTGATAAAAATGATTTAAAATGATAGCATTTTTTTTGAAAAGAAATCTGACTCTACGGAGACAATTTTTTTGATTTTCCCGAGAAAAAACATGGGGAAACGTTAAACTGGAATTGTTTGGAAAATAATCAGACAGAGTGTAAAAATCAGGAAATTTTTAGTACTCATATAGACTGTAATATTACTGAAAAAAAAAAATCATGAGCAGCATTTATACGGAATGTTAATTTCATGGACAAGAAAACGGTGGACTGTAACAATCCAGAATATGAAACTCTGTAAATGTCCGGACTGTAATCGGCCGGAAAAATAAATGATCAGACTAGAATATTCCGGACTGTAAAAATCCGGAAAACATAAATGCCTAAATCAGAAAGTACCAGACTATAATAATTCAGAATACAAAAATATCTACACTGTAATATCCCGGACAAGAACTTTAAAGAATTTAACAAAAGAACACTGATAGATGGCGATGTTTTGCATATACAGTACAAACAGAATAAAGGAACAAGATTAAAAGAAGGTCCATTGCTGTTTTCAGAGATGGGTAGACATGCTCAGACCCGGTATCACGATTATCAGTATTAGTAGTGTTTTTGAAATTCTGGATCATTCTAGTACGTGATATTCCGGAAATTTCTTGTCCGGGACATTACAGTGTGCGTATTTTTATATTCCGGATTATTATAATCCGGGACTTTCTGGATTAGGCATTTATTTTTCCGGCTGATTATAGTCCGGACATTTACAGTGTTTCATATTTCGGATTTTTACAGTCCGCCGTTTTCTCGTCTCTGAAATTTATATTCCGTAATTTTACAGCCCATACGATTATTTTCCGGGATTTTCTAGCCGTCCGGGAGAACCGAAAAAACGTAGGGAAAATGGGGAAATAGGTACAATATTATTAAAGAAAATATATAATGCATATGTAATTATTTTACCATAATATGACATACATATTATTAACAAAGAAATACTATCAACCGAACTATGCTCAGAATCGTTTTTTCGATTGCAATGGTTAATCGTTGATTACAGATGTAATTCAATTACCTATAGGCTATAACAATGGCTGCATCCGTCTCCATTATAGGATAGTTTTTTATACTTTACATCTACATTGTACGTAGATAAAATAGTTAATGAATAATTTTTACGGTATTTCTCTAGTACATTTTGTTGTTTATGACGTATTTATCATCGGCTCTTAAAAAAATCTCACAGGTGTACCAATTATCCATTGCTATGCCGAAAAAAAAAACCATTTTTATTTCTATTTTATTTTAAAATAATTTCAGATGGGATTTGAACCTCCAAATCTCAAAATATATGAGCGCCTGAGTATAATGTGTTGTAATGAAATATCTGTTTTTTGCCTCGCATATTATATAGGTTCGACCCGTCGTCGGCTGCCGCGGGCTCGCCCCTGGACACGTTCGGATTCTACAACCATCCGTCGGTGACGGCATTTTCTTCGCAGGCGTCGCTGGCCTCGTACTCTCCGGAGGACGCGTTCTCTAACTTCGGTACTAATCAATTTCGCACGCAGGGTTTTTTGGTCGAGGGATCGCCGTCGCTAACCCCGCTGCCCGCCAAGACGATCGTCCAGACCAGCCGGACGCCTGTGTCCATTTCTTCCGTAGACCATCCACTGCATGGACAGGTATTTAAGTACTCGCAGTCTTTCGTGCCATACCCGGCGTTGGTCCAGGCCGGTAACACTGCGGAAGTCCCGTCGTCTACGACGACACCGACCGCGATACCGGTCGAGAGCAGCAGCAGCATCAGCACTACAGCCGCCACTGCCGCCGCAACCGCTTAGAAAATCCCCAAACTATTTTACAATATTTGAACTTTTGTATAGTATAATCGATTATCCCTTCGCGTTTATATATCTGTAGTCTCGGTGAAGAAGAGTTTAAGTCGAGTTTCGGTGATTTTCGACATATAATTTTGTTCACTTTATTTTTCAGTCTAAAAGACACGTATGTATTTATATTTTAACGCACGTTATACTGATAATATCGTCTTAATGGCTATTATTACTATGTATTTTATAAAAGGCAAAAAAAAAACATAAGTCATGAGTTATGATAATAAATATTTAATTTTCGCTTGTGGACATTTTCAAAATTCAATTAGTTCTTATTGAAAACCATGCGAAGTCGACTTAATCCCTTTTTCCCTGGAACCATAGATGTATGTTATTGTCTTCTTGATCGTTTTTCTATTCCGATTTACCATTCTTAACCGCGGTTTTCTTACTCGATTTTCTGTCTATATATTAATATTATACCATTATGACTGTATAAATATTACATTTGCATATCATATTTATACGATAAATACAATATTATTATAATGATATCTTGTGGTGTTACCTTCTCGGGAGACGCCACCCCTCAGAAATCTGACTCAAATATTCAGTACTCCACCGAGACCATATTTGTTGAGTTAACTGAACAGTTCGTTGTCAACGACTAAGCCGGTTAAATCGTTATTCGCGTATTATATTTACTACTAGAAATATTTGTCACAAAATACTTATTTACCTTATTGACCTTTTGTAAACGTCGTAAAATTATTATTATAACTATTAGCGAACTTCGCTTTGAATCATATTTTCGTTAGCAATGGTTTATCGTTGCGTACAAATATAAATTAATGAACTTAATGTATCCTATCCTCCAAACTTCCCACTTCCAATAGTGGCCGCACATATCTTCAGTACCCTAGGACAATTTTTTTTTGTCTGCATAATCGTAGCAGAGCTTATCTTATCTCATTGCCTTTGTCCTAATGACGGAGTATGGTCATCCTAGAGGTATGATTTAGCTGTTACATCGGTCATAAATAATTAGTAAATAATAAGGACTTCGTGAAGTTGACCCTTCACTCGGTATAACCCCTTAATAACTAAAATATTGGCACTAAAGTATAAGGGCCAACTTCACGCACGTCATAATTACTTATATTTATACCCTTCTGCTGTAGAACATTATAGAAGTCATTTTTTGGGTTTTTTTTTTTTAAATTCTAAAAACCGTAATTTTGACTCCGATGATATCTAAATAAACGTACCTTACATCGTCCTCTCTCTATTTGAATGTTAGTGGTTTTTCAATACCACCACGAATTAGTTTTTACTTTGCTTATATTTGTTTAATAATTTTCAAAATTCGTTTGGCCTACGACCGCTATAACCGAAATGCTGCGGAGAAGCTGTAGAAATGTTTCTCTAACCTCGAATTTAAAAAACTACAAATTGCATGTATTTTGGTTGTCATATTATAGACCATAATTAGTAATTTGGCCTTCCTTAGTAAATTAAAGCTTTTGTTTTTTGTTTAAAAAATAAAACTTGAATAGAATTTAATGATTAAATATAAAATATATTTGATTAACTGTTTTTATTAAGATAAATACAAGGCAATTATAATTACACAGTAGATATATGGTACATAGTAGAACAACTTCGTTATCAAAATTGATTGCTGACGAGCATAGAAATAAAATAGCCGTCATAATTCATAAGGTAGAACCAATCAGAATGGTTTTTGTAAATCATTAAGAATAATGCCTTACCATTGGGTAAACAACGTGAAAAAAGAGCAATAATTGTTATATCTTCATTGATTAGAGATTTTATATTATATTTATTATACTACAACTATATAAAATACACTTATTATACTACAATAACACAACACAACTAGTAATAATATTGTATTTATAAAAATACAATTTATTAAATATAGGTAAATAAAAATAATAATATTAATACATCTACCTACTGAGGTTTTAACTTTTAATTAAAAAAAGAGAGTTGATACTAGATCAGAGTGCAGGGAACCTGCAGCATCCCCTTACAACTAGTTATACAAAACAATTAAATAGTCAGTCTAGATGGTCGGACTGTTGTCTGAAACTGATCATATATATATATATATATACATAAATATATATGATATACATTATACAAGGTGAATTATTAACACGCTGCGCACTGTGCCACTACACAAATGATACTCCATTACTATCCTCCAATTCAAAATTAAAAATAGAATATCTGGTCAATGGATTAACAAAAATCAAAAATGTCAACACTAAAATTTATTTTAACTAATACTTCATCTATTTATTGAATTTTTAATATTGGTTGCTGTTTGAAAATAGGTAGTGTCAAAAGTAGGTAGTGGTTTCACCCACAAAAATAAGGGTGACAACGAATAATATAAATACAGAATTTTAGAGTTGCTTGTTTCTTAAATGTTCTAGAAAAAAAAAATTCCGAAAAAAGTTAATACTATCCGAGATAATGAGTTTATCCGCTTGAATGGATCGCCTGGTAGTGTAGATGACCCGATTTCCAAACTGTGGCCTTAGGTGGTTAGGACGGTTTCACGGCTCAGTAACGGGCTCGGCTCCCACCAACCTGGTGTCAGCTCAGTCAGGAACTTCCCATCAAGTCACCTCTTATTATTTTCAAAGTACTTACAAATAAAAATTACGTAAAAAAACTCGCATATAGTTAAAGTATCTATAAATAGCTGAACAATTGTTCAAAGATCTGACCTGCTACCTTTGCTGACAATAGGGCTACTTTACAGCAGAATGCAACAACGAGACGCAAGCTCGTTATTGTTACCAGTGCCATGAAGAGGGCCGGGTTAGCGCCTTCAAATGGCTGCTGAAGGTGCAGCAGGAACAAGAGCAGCAACAGAAGCGAGAGAAGCAGTAGCAACAGTAGCTTTCATTTGGATTTATACTTAACTATACATACCTAACTTTTTCTCCTAGATACAAAGAATTTAGGAAAAATCGTATTTTAAATTAATATCGTTTATAGTTTATACTTTAAACTAAATATCAAATACCGGTTAACCACTATACAAAAAAATGGTTTCGGTTTTCGTTACTGTTAAAATAATCCTCGGTTTTGAAAACCGTTTAACTCGTTTAACTGCTCTTGCTCTGATTATGATTAAGATAGATCGTTAATACCGTTTATTAACTAATATTAGATAACTGGTTTTTCTAAAACCAATTTTCGTCTTTGGTGCTCCGAGCAATTCAGGATTTGTTCTGAAAGTTTACGAGAACGGAGGACGTCGCAGTGACGCTGGTCAGTGATCCGTACAGTGTCGGTTCCATTAGCTGGCATTTCGATTTTACAGATCGAACCGTCGTGGGCGTTCTCCATTAATGGCACCATGGCGTCGAATAACCTCGACAACACGTCGCACCATACTATAATATCATTTAATAAGATATTATTTAAATAGGTCAAAAATTCCTGAACATCATTTGTTGGTGATCTGTGTATACAATATAAAATAATTGGATTATTTGGAATGAATTATTTGAACTTCACAAAATTTACTTATCAAATTTAAATAAATGTTTACATACGTTTTTTACACATTACAATATTATTTCATCATTCTGATTTCTTTTAATTTTTGTATAATAGGTATTATAATATTATGGATTGATATATTGCAGTAGTTAATGTCATGTCAAGTTTTCTGTTAAAATTATAATACCTAAACGTTCATTGTTATTATTAGTTTCAAAGAAAATTAGTAGATTAGCTATATTAGCATTTACACTTCCTATTTTATATTTGTGTACATAATATGAAAAGGAACAGCAATGTAATAAAAATAACAGATGTTTAAATAATAAATTAATAAATTAATGTAGGTAAAGTTGAGTTAAAATCCATAAATCATTAAAATATAAATTATACATTATTACATAGCGTACTATCTAATTAATTTAACATTAAAAGACTATAAGTCTTCTATAAGTAAAGCATTTGTGGCATTATTTTTTCGTACAAAAAGTTTATTATTCTTAAACTAAACCAATTTATAGTTTTTTTTCTTTTGTAAGCAGTTTTATCTTATAAAAAATGTTCCTACCTATTTGTTTGTATTAAATAGTTGTTGATATAATATAAACTCTCTTTGTTCCAATTGTTGTTGATGTCGATCATTGATAGTATTTTTGTTATTTTCAAGTTCGTGAGATTTATCTTATCTTCTTTCGATTCTAGAATTGCAACAATTTTAACATGTTAACCAGACATTTCCGATTGTATGATCATACATTTTCAAGAGAAAACTTTCCGCCTACTGCCAATGTATAATTTTCTAATATTTTGCTACAGTTCTTTTCTTTTTATTCTGGTATTTCAATTATTTCAATATGTTTGCACATTAATATTTATTATATTGTGTTTATTCGTTTGTTTACTAATATAACTTCACTTTTTAGTTTTTGCTTTTGAACTTTTAGAAGTTTGTTTTCCTCGTTAAAATTTCCTTTATTGAATTTACTAGATTCTGGATTTTTATGCTAAAACCATCAAACTGTTTGCTCATAAAATTCATTGATTTTGTATAGTCCAGTAATTGTTCTTTGGAAGCACTGTTAGGATTTTCCATTGTAAGTTTAATTTTTGTTACTAGTGTAGTAGGACCTTCTTTTCATTTAATGTAACAATAAATATTACAAAGATGCTACTAGATAGTACTGATGCTGATGACATAACTAAGCCAAAAATCATGAAATAGAATTGCATGATTTAATAATTATGAGTCATTGGCAATCACATTTTAATAATTAAGACTTTATTCCATTTCATCTATTCATTATTTAGGATAATTTCATCTTGTTTCTGTTGACATCTATAATAAGTAATTAATACAAGTAGGATGAAAATAGCGGTTTAGTCTCACATTCTCCTCAAATTTTATGAGTTTAGATAAAAAAAAAAGATTGTGAAAAAAGCAAAAAAAAAAGAAGTAAAAAAGA